CCACCCCCCTAGCAAAGACATGTTCTCCAGGATGGAAGTGCTTGGTCAGGTGAGTTCTTGTAAAGTCTTGTCATTTTTGTGAAGTTAAAAGTGGGAGGATTCATTCAGGTTTATAACATATGTGTGTGTCCCTGAAGAAAGCCCCCTGTGGTCGGGAATTTTGAATATTGAACTTATATGGGTATATTCTCATAGCTAGCCAATTCAATGCTAAGCACGCTGATTTTTAAAGGTGTCAAATATCTTCAGTAGGATCAAAGATATGCCACATTTTGTGACACAGGGCTTAAAAACAAAGTTTAGAAAAAAACCAATTTCTAGCACATTTTTAACCTTTGGGGAAGTAAAACATGCTGCAAAAATAACTGATCAAAATATATTGTCTCAAGATATTATAAAATCTTTTTAATATGGTATATAAAATGGTTGAACGTGTGAAAAAACCAAATTTTAGACCAAGTACGACTTTTTAGGCCTTTTCACCCCTTGCTCAAAAATACACCATCCAGCACAATGTGCCTACAGCAAAACATTTGATGGCAACAAGACTAGAGGGGGACAGAGAAAGACCTGGATAGATGGAGTCAGGGAAACATTAACCACCCACAGCATCCCCCTGACCCAAGCTCTCCGGCTGGCGACAGAGAGATGTCTCTTCCCGCGACGCCCAAAAGGGTATAAGCGGTGGATAAAAGTAAAGTAAGCTCAAAAATAGCTTGGCCGACAACTGGGACCTTTCTCCAGGCACGCACACATATTTTTGTCTGACCTTAAAACATCATGTTCACCTTCCTAGTAAAATCGGATTTTAAAAAATATATTTTGTTCCTCGAATTCCATTTTCATTGGTCAAATACAGCTTATCGTAAGAGATGTGAAAATACACATTTTTATTTTCATTCATTTGCTGTATTTTTGCATGACTCATCGTGAATGACATGAAAATACATTTTTATTTGCGTCTATTTGCAATATACGTTTATTTGCCTCAATCGATTTATAACTTAGTCTGAATCTACTGGGGTTCTGGAGACTCTGATACTCCGATACCTGGATACCTGGGGGTGTCATCTTCTGACTCAGAGGTTGAAACACCCCCGGGGCGGTGCCACTGACTGAAGTGTCTTTAGGCCATTCCCGAATGGAGGGGG